TTGTGTACACAGCATGCATCATGCTTGCATGTGTATGAAGTGATTACCTTGTGTACACAGCATGCATCATGCTTGCATGGATATGAAGTGATTGTCTTGTGTACACAGCATGCATTATGCTTGCATGGGTATGAAGTGATTGCCTTGTGTATACAGCATGCATCATGCTTGCATGTGTATGAAGTGATTGTCTTGTGTACACAGCATGCATTATGCTTGCATGGGCTTGAAGTGATTGTCTTGTGTACACAGCATGCATTATACTTGCATGTGTATGAAGTGATTACCTTGTGTACACAGCATGCATCATGCTTGCATGTGTATGAAGTGATTACCTTGTGTACACAGCATGCATCATGCTTGCATGGATACGAAGTGATTGTCTTGTGTACACAGCATGCATTATGCTTGCATGGGTATGAAGTGATTGTCTTGTGTACACAGCATGCATCATGCTTGCATGGGCTTGAAGTGATTGTCTTGTGTACACAGCATGCATTATGCTTGCATGTGTATGAAGTGATTGCCTTGTGTACACAGCATGCATCATGCTTGCATGGGCTTGAAGTGATTACCTTGTGTACACAGCATGCATCATGCTTGCATGGGCTTGAAGTGATTGTCTTGTGTACACAGCATGCATTATGCTTGCATGGGTATGAAGTGATTGCCTTGTGTGCACAGCATGCATTATGCTTGCATGGGTATGAAGTGATTGCCTTGTGTACACAGCATGCATTATGCTTGCATGGGTATGAAGTGATTGCCTTGTGTACACAGCATGCATTATGCTTGCATGGGTATGAAGTGATTGCCTTGTGTACACAGCATGCATCATGCTTGCATGGGCTGGAGGAGGTTGCCTTCTGTACACAGCATACATCAGGTTGTATGGGCTGGAAGAGACTCATTGTGTACACAACATACATCATGCATAGTCTGGTGCTGTTGTTGGGCTTAACGCCATTTTTCAGCACACGATAGGCTATTCATGGCTGTCAGTATTAATGGTGGAGGAAGAAACCGGGAAAATCACCGGAAAGAACCACCAACCCACGAGAAGCTACTGGCAAACTTTCTCGAATATCCACATTCGCCTAATACTAGACTCGAACACACGCAGACAGAGGTGATATGGCAGTGATCCGTAACGGACAGCGCTTTAGATCACTCGTCCACTTGGGGCTCCTCATGCATAGTCTGGAAGAGATTGCCTTCTGTACACAGTGCACATCATGCTTGCATGGTTTGAAAGTGATAAATTTGTGTACACAGTGTACATCATGCTTGCATGGGCTGAAGGAGATTGCCTTGTGTACAGTGTACATTATGCCTGCAGAGGTTGGAGGAGATTACTTTGTGTACTGTGTACATCATACTTGCATGGGGTGAAGGATTGCCTTGTGTACAGTGTACATCATGTCTACAGTGGTTGGAGGAGATTACCTTGTGTACAGTGCACATCATGCTTGCATGGGCTAAAGGAGATTGCTTTGTGTACAGTGTACATCATACTTGCATGGGTTGGAAGAGATTGCCATGTGTACAAAGCATATATCATGCTTGCATGGTCTGGAGGAGATTGTCTTTTGTACATGGTGGGCTGAAGGAGATTGCCTTTGTACAGTGTACATCATGACTGCAGTGGTTGGAGATTACTTTGTGTACAGTGTACATCATGCTTGCATGGGCTGAAGGAGATTGCCTTGTGTACAGTGTACATCATGCTTGCATGGGTTGGAAGAGATTGCCTTGTGTACAAAGCATATATCATTCTTGCATGGTCTGGAGGAGATTGTCCTGTGTACATGGTGTACATCATGCTTGCATGGGCTGAAGGAGATTGCCTTGTGTGCATTGTACATCATGCCTGCAGTGGTAGGAGGAGATTACCTTGTGTACAGTGTACATCATACTTGCAATGGTTCGAAGAGATTGCCTTGTGTACAATGCATATATCATTCTTGCATGGTCTGGAGGAGATTGTCTTGTGAACATGGTGTACATTATGCTTGCATGGGCTGAAGTAGATTGCCTTGTGTACAGTGTACATCATACCTGCAGTGGTTGGAGGAGATTACCTTGGGTACAGTGTACTTCATGTTTGCATAGGCTGAAGGAGATTGCTTTGTGTACAGTGTACATCATACTTGTATGGGCTAGAAGAGATTGCCTTGTGTACAAAGCATATATCATGCTTGCATGGTCTGGAGGAGGTTGTCTTGTGTAAATGGTGTACATCATGCTTGCATGGGCTGAAGGAAATTGCCTTGTGTACAGTGTACATCATGCCTGCAGAGGTTGGAGATTACCTTGTGTACAGTTTACATCATGCTTGCATGGGCTGAAGGAGATTGCCATGTGTACACAATAAACATCATACCTGCATGGGCTCAAGGAGATTGCTTTGTGTACAGTGTACATCATACCTGCAGTAGTTGGAGATTGCCTTGTGTACATCATACCTGCCTTGTGTACATCATACCTGCATGGGTTGGAAGAGATTGTGTACACATCATGCATCTTGCTTACATGGTCTGGAAAAATTGCCAAGTGTACCAAGCATTTTTGTGAAGAATTGCTTTTGCTTGCATAAGGCATTGCAGACCACTATCATTTTCTCAGGTGTATTTATGAAACACTGGACTAACAGATAATTCTTGTGTTACAGCAGGTACATCATATTTTATTGTCATTTTCATTTTTATTTAATTTCTTTCTCACTTTTATGAACCTTACAGATCATTTGTATGTCATGTGTATTCTAAAACTGGTACCAGTACAGTGGAACAAAGAGCCTTTCAGTAGCAGTAATATATTACTTGCAACTATTGCATTACTTACATTTCCAGGATGCAAAATCCCATGTCTTAAGTTAAATAATTCTACATGCTTCCAATGTAAGGTTCTGGAACTGAGGAAAGATCCATGTCCCAATCTGAAGCCCACAACACATACCTTTTACTACCCCTTTTCTTGGATATGCGGTACATAAGTACATGGGTTTTATTTCACTTTAAAATTGCTTTTGCTTTTGCTTTTCACTTCTAATTTTTTTCATTCAAGTTAGTCTCCCCCCTCTTGTGGGTCAAGAATGTTCTCAGACTTCCATAATTCAGAATTCTTAAAAGGCCCAAGAATCCCTGACACTTGAAGGTCCATTAATTTGTAAATTGTGTTAGCTCTCCTACGGACACAACAGACATGGTTTAGTGATCTACTTGACCTGTTGGTAGACACAGGTAAGGAGATTTCGGGCATGGTTGCAAATTGCACTGTACAGGGTAAGAGGAAGTCCTGGGTTTAAAATGCAAAGCAGAGAATATTCTGTGATTGATAGTATAGGAAATGCATTGATCCTAGCTGTTCCTCTTTGAAGTGACAAATTTCTCATTCTTTTTTGAGGAGAGACAATATCCAGTGTTGATATGGACCTTAGGATGGCACTTTCAGATGCACTTTAGAGTTCCCATCATCGGCTTGAATCCTCATCTTTCTGATCTCCTCAAATATTCTGAGCTTCAGAGATCAGTTTCTTATTAATGCCTACATGAAATAACTCATGTTGTTTGGGTACTGTCAGAAATTTTTTTTTGAAGATCTCACATGTTAGTTGTTGTGCTCACTTTAGCCTCTGTGATGAGGATGGGCAAACTTCATGACTTGTCAGTAGAAAAACTACTTTTCAGTGGTAATGATTCAGTTTCTCTTCTTTGCCCACCTGGGTGACTGGCCAAGAACCAGTGTCCTTCAGTAGTAGCGACTGTGTTGTTCAATGAATTTGCATTAAATTGAAAAGCTGTTAATTTTGTTAATTTACTCTTAGGCTGAGATGATGAACGTGCAACGTCTAACTTTTGTTTACCCATGATAATGTTGCACTGATGACTGCATATAATTCTGATTGAGATTTGTTTTCCTTTTGCTTGGTATTTACACACAGCAAATGGTACTTCAAAGGTAATTTTCTCTTGAGTGTCAGCAAAACTATTTATTGGTATATTTTTTATAAAAAAAACATAAGGAAGGATTAGCCATTGCTCCATTACTTTTAGCATTTCCCTTTGCTTCTTCATAGGGCGGTCGATTGTAGGTATAGCCAGGTAGCATGATTGAGTGTTTTCATAGCATACAATACATAGGCCAGAGGTCAACATTTGCAGATTATGATGTAACATTGCACTGTTATTGGCTCCTACTCAAAACACAGTTATCTAAATATACCAGGAGTCAATTTCAAATAGAGTTGATCAAGAACCCTTGGGTGGCAAAGACTTGAGAGTTATAACAAGCAACATAATATGAAGCAATGTTTTACTGAAGACAGCCATACTGCATGTGATTTCTCTAAAAAGAAAATAGCTACAGAGTTATACATTTATAGCATGTTTGATAAATCAGTTATAATTTTTCATTTTCAGGTGATTACCTACTTTTTATTAGCATTTGGAGGTATGTGTTGTGTGTCAGCAGCCATAGGCATCTGGCAAATCTACCAAGGAAATCTGACTCTACCAGACAGACTGTTTCAGCTTGCCAAGCCATTCCAGCAATACTGGTCATAGGATGACATACATGCAGACTTGCGTGAAAATAGTTTTTATTTTCTAAACTTTATTCATCTGCTGTTTCGGTTTATCTGAACCCAACTTATGTTCTTTGATTGTACAAACACTTGTGTATTCCCTAATATGTCATATTTATGTGTCAACTATATTTGACAATAGGCTCACCACCATGGTAAAATTGTGTGCCAATATTTACCAACGATATCTCTGTCCAATAAAAAGCCAACCTCCATTTTGTCATTATATTTCTTAGGCTGGACCAAGTATCTTATAAAAGGAACAATATTGGCCTAAATAAATCAGAAAAGTATACCATATATACTTGCTTATAAGTCAAGTCAAACTACAAACAACAGAGATCCTGATCTGCTGTAGAATAATATGCTTGCAGATCAGGGTATATGTGATTTATCATACAGATTACTCTCAAATGCTCCAGTGGCCTAGTGGTTAGAGCATCCACCTTGGATGTGGGAGGTAATGGGTTTGAACCCTGGCTGAGTCATATCAAAGACAAAGAAAATGGTACTAACAGTTGCCTTCTTTGGTGCTCAGCATTAAGAGGTTAATGTTAGGACTGGTCAGCCTGGTGTCAGGATAATGTGACTGGGTGGGATATCATGCCACATGTCTTTGGCATGATGTCCCAGTGCTAGACATCAATATAAACTGTCACACTGTAAACATTGTAGTTATATGACTGAAATTGTTTTAAAGCCATGTTAAAAATCTAAATCACACACACAGATTACTCCTAATAAACCAGACAGACCCAGATCTGCCGGCACATTATGCACCAGCAGATCTGGGTCTTTGCACTTTGCAGTTGAACTCTAAGCGAGTATATACAGCAACTGAAAGTTAGGTGCAGCTTTATAAATTTAGAAGAATAAAGTGATTGAAAAAAGTTTAAACATTTTTGATTTAGTTGATTGCATACATATTTTCTGACTTTTTTTATATGCTCTTGATGGTTCATATGTTGGTGTTATGTCCTGGAGGTTGAGAAACTTGACAACATAAGTAAGCCACTGACCTTGGAGGGTGACTGCATATTCTTGCACATGTAGGACACTTGCTTTTATAGATGAATAACAGTTGTGTCAGTGCAGCAACATCCTAATTATTTACACAGTAATTGACTTACAGGTTCACACACCATACTGTTTTTGAATACTCAGATTTTATATTACTTGAAAAATCTCCCTAAATAATTAATATTAATTGACTAGACATGCAAAGGGAATTAATTACTGAAAACTGCATTAAATTCCTGAAGCTTTTTTGTATTGATGTGAATTGTTTTGTAAATTACCAGCATCATATATGTTGTTCTTGTTCATCTTTTCATTCATTTATCAACAATCCATTTTTATAGAAACCACACCAATTGGTGACCACAAAAAGAATTTGTATTATGTAGCTTTTAAGGAGTTCTGTATTCTAGAAATATTGTAGACTTGTAATTAATATTTGTTCATTTAATCAGGAGATATATCTGGTGATATTTTTCTGCCTTAATTCTTATTTCATAAAGAAATGAATTTTTTAATAATTAATTTTGATTAACATTTTTTTAAAATTTAGTTCTTGAAAATATGAAGCACATGAAAATATTAACCTTTGAAATTTGATCATATAAATTGTACAGGCAGTCATTTAAATATTTGTGAATCCAGAAATTTTAAGTTTTTATTTGGATTGTACTGTACAATGAACAATTGGAATATGGGTATTTTTATACACAACTTAGATCTGGGATTACATGGAATTTGATCATTGGGACTCTTATGTAGATGCATGCAAGATTGTCCCAATCCTTTAAAAGGTTTCTTTTGTACCATGTTAAGTATATACCTGTGTGTTTTAATGAAGACTGGCTTATCATCAGAAGTTTTTGTTTAAAGATTTGATTAATTATGTAAGTTGGGCATGAGGTAATCATCAGACATGTCACTGTAGTTCTTTACACTGAAATTGGTTAAGACGTATCTTTTGTGTTATCCTCAACTAACTCATGAATGGTAGAACTAAAATTTGTTTTATCTGGTTGTTGCACACAACCTCAAAAAATATCGAAGTTCAATAAGAAAAAAACTACTTTCACCCAGATTTGTATACAAAATGGGAAAGAAACTTTGATGTGTATTCCTTCCACCAGCTACAATTATAGAAGCATAATTTAATTTTATCCTTGTCTGTCCATTGTATTTATTGGTAGAACATTACACTTGTAATTAAAGGGTCAGAAATAGGATTCCTGCCCAGACCAGCCTGGGGTGGGAGCCTCAGAGAATCCTTCAATAAGTTACTTGTCTCCCATTTCCTCAGCATGATAAATTGATTACAAACCAAGCACCTGTTATGTTGCATTCCTGCCCTGTCCCATCCATGATAGATTTTGATTTCATTCAGTAGCTTTTAATGGACCAAATCAAATTTGACATGATGAATTACATTAATGAGACATAGGTTAAGTGTCTTTTACTTGGGACTTATTGGTCAGAGTATGTTATGTCACAAGAACATACTTCTGATAAAAATTTTGTGCATTTTTCCAGGCTTGAAAATTTAAAATGAAAATTTAATCTTTCCAGAACATGTGAAGGTCAATTTTGATGAGTGATTTTATAGAAACTCTAGTTTTTTCACATGCAGCAATAATAGTATTAAAAATGTCATTTTAAAGATGGGCATTATGTGTTATAAACAATATCTCATTATTGCAACAATATTGAATCATTATTGAATCTCTATGCATAAATAACCTACAATTGTTGTGATGCATGTATTTATTAGGAGGTGAGGATTTCGTTTATATGTCAGATATTTTTGCAGACATACTTGTACTATTTGACCACAAAGTGGTGTTAATGTAAAATATTATATGAAAAGTTCTTGTCTTGTAGCTCCAACTATTTTCTGCAGTATTAATCTCAGATTTTCCTAGCCATAGTTTCATGGCAACATATTTAAGGAAGCAAATTAAATCTTTTACTGCAAAAAAATTTTGTATAAAGAAATATAACAGTACAGTTTTCTAGGTTTATGTTAAAAAGATGAGCATTTTTCCAGTATGAAAATTCCTTTTGAATTGAAGGAGGCATTTACAGCAGTCATCTTGGATGTTGTTAATGAACTTGTTCAGAGGTCCGAAATGAAAATGTTTGAACAAATTGTACAATGAGGTCATATGTAATGATTTAGTTCTTTTCTCTTATTCTGAAAATTTTTAAAAACTTTTGTTTGTGCATGTTTTGTGAGAATTTCCCAATTTTATGATCCTCTGGTTCTACTAATGAAGTTTAAAGATAAAACCTGCTGTGGTAAGTTTGTAACAGTCTCTCTACATCAACAAAATGACTAATGTGTCATGCCATTTGACACATAACAAAAACTATATTTAAGCTCCACATGGCCAGATCTTAGCAAACTATCATCCCATGAATTTGAACTGTCCCAAATTTCCCATCTAATTTATTGAATCAACTGATTACCTCTCAAAACAAAAATCTGAATTTGGTCTTGAGGACATTTAGTCATGACAGGTTTAATTCCCAAATACTTTTGGAGAATTTTTAGTCCCCTGGACTTTAAGTCATTCAAGAGGTTAAAGTCACAAGCACTTTAAGTTTTAGTGCATCTCAAAGACTGGAAATTTTCTTATTTTGGGGTATAAATTTTAATGGTTTTTCAAAAATAAATGTTTGCACTCAATTTGATAGATTGTATAAGAAGCTCTCTCAACTTTGAAGGCATAAAAGAGACTCTCACAATCATGTTGCTGATGTTTTATTGTGAACTTAAAACTAGTATTATTGGAAATATTGTGCTTTTTTATAGAAATGCAGCAATTCTATAGATACATCTGTGAAAAAGGAATTTGGCATTTTTTGTAATTATACTTTCTAACTGAAAGAGACATATATTTATCTTCTAGAACTAACTGAGCTTAGGCATTATTAAGGTTTATAGGTACCATTATAAATTTTTTAAATTAATTTTATCAGAAAACTGGAAGGTTGTACCTATTAGACCATGTTGAAAACTGGATGGTTGTACCTATTAAGACCATGTTGAAAACTTGTAGGTTGTACCTATTAGACCATGTTGAAAATTACCATCTTGAAATAGACCTGGCTGTCTATAAAATAATGGCAAGGTTATGGCCTTGTGTTGGAATTCATTAAGATTTTTATATTCCTCAATTTTTTAAAAAAATTGTCGTATTCCATCATGTACCATCTGTGAGCAATGTTGGACTGCATCAATGCTGTTCTTCCAATTCTGATTTCAAGCAAACATTGGAATATTACACACTGCAGATGTGGGCCTACACTGTGTCACAGTTGATATATACTAAGATTATCATGGAGAAGTATGCATGTTTTCCATTGATGCATCTTAAAATAATTTAGATAAATTAATGACTGGTTAAGAACTCCTGAAACACATGCTGCAGTACATGATTTATTGTAAACATTTACCATAAATATGTGATAAGAAATTCAGAACAAAGGTATCTGATACAAGACTTACATTCCTATACATCTATACCAGAAGATATTCCAAGTTATTATATGCTCATTTTTTTTCTCCGTTAACTATACATTCTCAGAATCTCTCAATATTTCCAGATATTGACAACCTTCATATTGCACTCCTCGTGCTTGATGCACGTGAGCATACGATACACTATGAAGTTGAAGGGTCGGTGGGAGGAGCTATATGTACATGAATACTATTGTTGTGCATTCAAGGAATCTACTACGATTGTGAACTTTATTTTTTAATATTAAAAGTATTTGGTTGTGAATTTTATTATTAAGTCTTCAGTAATGAAACAAAAATGAGCATATAATAAATGGGTTACTGCATTTGAATGGAAAAATACTCCCGAGATCATGCAGTATAGCCATCCGAAAAACTTGTTCATATTTTCCCATACAAATGCAGTAACCTATAATTACAGTTTATTTTCTTCATGCAAATTTTGGAATTGTGTATTTCTAATAATAATAATACCATAGTAAATGGATTTAAATTTTGCTACTGTATAATTTTATGTAAAATTATTCTTGAGGTATCTGAAATTTGTATGAATTGTTTGATTCATGTTATTCAGTAATAAACACTGTTCTAACTAACAATGTAAACTGTACACTTAGTGTTACACAAGAAGATAATGTAAAATCTCAATTTAAAACAGCATATTAAATCGTGTTTTTGCAAACACTTGTGTTTGTGCTAAATTTTGTTTAAAAATAAAGTAAAATTGTCATCTTTATAACCACTTTTTCCGACCATTTACACTTATATGTAGGTCCAAAGGAGACAAAATAGACTCTGATCTGCCATAACATAATACACAGCAGATCAGGGTCTATATCTGTTCTACTGATTACTCCTCGTAGACTGCATAGTCCCTGATCTACTGATTCATTATTTATTGGTCAGGGTCTATTTACTTGTAGTTGGACTATATTTGTTTTTGAGAAGCACAAT